GAGTGATGGGGCTCCTTAAGTTGCAAGAGGGTTTTTCAGAAGACTTAGTGGGCTTTGTGGGCCAAATCTTATGCCAAAAGGAGGGGCTGAACCTAGGTTTTGTTTTTAAGTTAAAACCTGTATAGAGCAATGCGGTACTGTGTGTTTTGAAGTAGATAGAGGCTCCTGAGAGAGGGTTTTTTTTTAATTTTCTACTTTGAAAGAAGAATCTTCCTCCCTGTTATATCTTTGGCCTTGCCAAAAAAAGTCCTCCTTCAAAAGGGCATATGCTTGAGGTATCTTTTAGAGGCAGCTTCAGCAGTTGCTTTGAGCCACAAGTTTCTGCACCTGTGAATGGAGATTAGAGCCATTCTGGAAATTTGTGTCTTTACTTGTTCTAGGGCAGATCTTTGAATGAAGGAATATCTTCAATTGGCACAGCGAGTTGTTTGGTTTAAAACTACTAGAACTCCTTTTGAAAAGGGTAGAGTTCGGCAAGGATTTTCAGAGGAGTTAAATTTTTTTCTGGATAAACCCAATTTTCATAAATTGCTCATTCTATTTGCTCATGAAGATGAAATATTGTTTTAGATTTAGCAGGCCTCTGTTTACCCAAAGGGGAATGGCAAGACAGAGGAGATTTAAGTGTGACAATCCTGAGACTTTTCCACACCACAGAAGTGAGCATATCAACATTAGCAAGAATATTGCCTGAAGCTGTAATTTCAGGTGTATAGGAGTTTAAGAGTGAGAAATCTTCCATAGCATTCCTCTAACATCACCTCTAGGTCCTCATGATTTCCGTCTATGACCACCTCTTCCAGGTCGGGCATATTGGAATTGAGACAATGAAGCTGGGGAAGGGGCCTGGTGTTTTGGAGCCCTGGACAGAGATGGCTGTAATAAAGCTATTAGCTGCCCTAGGAATTGTGACATAGTTGCAGAAATATATTTCTTTGTCAGGTAGGCTGCATATTGTGTGTCTGAAACAGAACTAGAGTTGGATACAAAGATGAGTGTTAAATCAAGTCCTGTTCCAGTGAAAGAAAAGCATTCTCACTCTGAGGTTGAGTGTTGTGTGAGCCCTTGTCAGAGCAAAAGTTTATTTATCCAGGTTTATCCAGGCTTCCTTTCATCTGATTTCCACCAAAGCTTCAAGTGAGGGTAAATCCCATAAGGGATGGGGTAGGGTACAGAATATAGGGTAAGCATTCCAGAAGGAATACACAGCAACCCAGGTGCTGATCATCTTGTAGCAAAGTCCTCATGGCAAAAGGGTGGGAGAAAGCACCTGAGTACCTTATAAGGGCTCTAGGCAGAAGGGACAGTAAAGTGTGTGGCCTGTGGTGTAGCACCTGGTCATCCATCTGGAACTAAGCTAGAGTGGTTGAGTTTTAGCACCAAGTTTGAAAGGTTTGCATTGTAAAGTGACCTCGTTTTTACAGCAATGTTCAAAGAAATAGGGTGACCCTGTCTTACCTGTCCATGACCTTGGTTCATATAGGGTCTAGGCTTTGCCCATCACTTTGGGCATACTCCTGAAGAGGTCTTCAGGGTCCGGGTTCCATAGGAATGGACCACGGCCCTGGACCTGTATAGCATTACACGCATTGCACAGAGTGCTGAAGTGAGCAACTGTGCAAAATACAGCAGGATACAGTGCCCGAATAAAGCTACAGGGCATCCCCATAGCACAGGGTCCAGGTACAGTTCCTAAGGTTTTACTGAGATTGCAGCACCCTGGATGTACTGCTTCTATTGTATTAGAAGACAGTGATGAGTTATTTGAAGAATCCTAATATAATATATTAAACTAGTTAAGCTTAAAGTGATTTCTCTCTAAGGAAGAAGAGGCCTGTAAACTTAGGGCATTAACAATAAACTGAGGACTTATGGAGTAGGGCAGGGTTGGAGGGGAGGCACCCAGGAGACATGTCCTCAATAGCTTTGCCAGTGTCCAATCATCTGAAGGTACGAGCCTATAATCCACGGTCTGGGCACAAGTGCTCTTTAAATTTGTTACATATCACCTAATGTATATGTGAACCCTCACCCTGTAAAATAACCCATTCAGTTTAAAATAGAAATGGAAGGTAAAAAATTTGAGTACACGTTATAAATTGTGTACACATTTGTGTAAAAACATTATAAATACCTTTTTTTTTCCCCTTAATTTATAAGTGATCACATAACCTCTGTTCTTAGCTGCATAAGGATCTTAGAGAGCTAGGGAGGAGAAACAGCAGGACACTGATCTTACTAGTGAATGGCTGTGCAGGTGTGTGTGTGTATGTGGGGGGGGGGGGGGGGGTGTCAGCACAAGTCTAATCATTGGATAACCGGCTGAATTCTCAGAACAGCTAGAAAACTGACCACATTGTGCTTTCATGCCTAGTGTGGTCAATGTTTAATAGGAAAGCATAGGGACTTGCATGAATCCCAGGGATTTCACACAAAGGAAGCAACACAAAAGGAACAGGATACTTTTTCATACATGTAACACCCTCCTAGATAGCTAGGGGGAGGTAGCTCAGGGGTTTTTTTTCTTAAACTAGGAAGGGGTTATTTTAGGTCAGGGCTGAGTAACTCTGCAGTTCAGTTCCATGATACCTCCCCCTGCTCTAGAGTCTTGGAGAAAGATTCTAGAAGCAGTGGGCAGGGGTGAGGAGGGGCTGGCCTGCACACTTAGGGGACCCTGGCCAATCCCCAAGCAGAAAGCTTGGCATGGGGCCAGAGCAGCCTTTAAATGTGTTTGCGCCTGCACAGCAGCAGGAGAGTTTGGGTGGAAGATGGAGTGAGAAGGCTGAGGTGCGGGAGCCTGGGAGGGGGCCCAGTTGTAAAGGGGCTCACCTCCAGGCTGTGATGCTGGAAAGGAGGAAAGCTCAGACCTCATCAGCCCCCAGAGTGTGGAACACCTGTGCAGCAGAGAAGGAGCCAGCCAAGTGGAAAGCCTGAAAGTAGCTACCAACCCACCATCCCATAGGAACAGGGCTGAGTGAGTAATCCTACATCCCCTGGACCAGTTAAAGGGGAGAGGAGCACTCTGATGGAGAACCTGATTAGCTCCCTATCCGGGACTGTCCATCTTAAAGTGAGAGGTACTGAATCCCCTTGCCCAGGGATTCCTTCAGACAGCTGGAAAGAGGAGGGTTATCTGGGGTCTGGGGTGGTACACCAGGTGAGGCTGGAGAGCTCTCCAAGAAGACGTTTTGTTGTGTAAAGACTTGTACATAGTTCTACATACAAGTACATGGTCCAGCAGGCACATATCAGGAATTTTGAAATTTTGGATTGACATATTGTTTAACCCTGTGTAGTAGTTTCTTGGCGTAATCCACAATGACCACTGTTATGATGTTATTAAATCTTTAAAGGGGACATGTGAGTTTAGAAATATGGGTGTTGCCAGTGCTGACATTTTTTTAAGCTGCAATTTTTGAGTTTCTCATCTGGAAAAAGTATGCTGCTAGTAAAGCCAGACCTCTAGAACTAAATATTTGTACCAATTAAGTAGTAAACAAAGGATAAGGATACTAGTTCCTGATCTTGCACCTTCCAAAGAAGTTTGAAGTAGCAGCTCACATTTTTCTATTCTGAAAGGCTTTAAGGTCTCCAAAGTTGGATAGTTGCTAGGCGAATAGCTTTTTAAGAAAGAGGTCAGTGATGGCAGTCTTTATATTTTTCTGAGTGCATTTTGTAAAGGTTTATAAGCCGATAATAAACCTATGCGACATGTCAAAGTTTTCATAGACCACATCATTCTGATGCTGAGTGTGCATCAGAATTTAGTTTCATCTATTTTTTGTTATATAATTTGAGGTTAGTTGTATCATGTTAGCTGTACTTTTATCATCTAAAATAGACTACATGTAAAAGGAGTGTGTTTCCAGTGGTGTGGAGGTGCGCTGTGCAGAAGTAACAGTGGTAGTCATGGTGCTTCTTCATTATGCCTTAATATGTTGTGTTATGTTTGACGCAAATCACAATGAATGTTGTTGAATAAAGTTTTGATGCCAAGAACTAATATTTACCCACAGCCAACAATGCGATTCAAACCTGCCCTAGAAAATTATATTTAGAATATGAATGGTAGCTCTAGTGAAATGATTACAGTTGCTTTTATTGACAATCAGCTACAAAATAGCTTTTTCATATATTCTTTACCTTGTCTAGGACTCCTTATGACAACATGTGGTGCTTTGTTACCATCTCTAATAGAACCACAGACAGCACTGCTGTTTACAGCTTTATTATAACAACCACACTTGTACATATTTGTTGGGAACAAATTTAAAGATGAATCTTGCTGCCTGCTTCTGCAAGGTTCAAGTTTGTTTGAGCTTCATACAATCCAAATACTTGGAGCATCCACACCTTCCCCTACTTCCCCTACCTTGAAACTGATGTGGAGAACCATGTTGGCTTGCATCTAAGTAGTGTTTCTGCAATGTTTTTTTCCCATTAGTTGATAGAGCAGGCCTATTCTGAGCTGTACTTAATATTTCTGCATTACTCCTATTTTAATCACCAAACTAATAGGGAGATAACCTTTTGCATTTGTAGTCCCAAGGCATTTGGAGTCCAAGAAAACACTGCACAGCAACGGATTCACAGCATTCTGTAGCATATACACCTCTCGTATAATTATATCACTTATAATGACAGTAGCTTTACAAAATGCATGGTGTTTTTGTTAAATGTGTGTCTGCATTGAGAAAGTTGTCTTTCATGCATTTTCAATTTGATTTCTTTGTCGGTGTACAGCAGGGTCGTTGTTCTTTATATGTGTAACTACACATTTATAAGTTCTCGTTAGGTTTGTAGGTTTCCTGGTATCTAAAATGTTATTTGTATTTGCCTTTCTGCTTGTTTCTGTACAGTTCTCTACCCCCATGATGATTTTGCCCCATTATCTGTCTGCCTGACATCCATTCCTGGGCAATTTTTGACTTTCCTTCCAAGGCACTACTCTCCAAGTTTGTTCTCTGGGAAAGTGTCAGAGATAACTCTAATGAAATGTATTACCACAGAGGGGTTGCTGGCACATTGATGCCTGAGATACATTCTTCTTTTTTGTCTTTGTCCCACTGATGTATGATGGGTGGGTAAATAACTCTTCCAGTGAGAGACCATGTTGATGTAGGATCTGTCCTACTACCAGGACGATAGCGTGCAAGTAATCCAATCACAGCCAGAAGTAAGCAGAAGGCTAGTGCAGTGAGAGCTTTTTGCCCTCTGTGCTTATAACCTGTGCCAGTGTCCCTCGTTCTAGCACTAGCACAAGCTGTTCTCACTCTGCCTCCAAGAATGGAAACTCGAAGACACACTCTGCATTCCTCTCCTGGAAGTAGTCTTGTGACATTGTATGAGTTTAAACCTACAGGGAGTCTTGCCCGCTCCACGCTGGCACCAGGTGTTAAGCAACTCCAGCGAAGGCTACATCCGAGTGCATTGAGAGGTGGAATCCAGGAGAGTAATAAATGACGCTCACCCACTTCTCCCACTTGCAGCTGCACTGGGTCATCTCTAGTTGGGGATATCTGGTTGACCATAAGATATACGCTCTTGTAATCTGTTCCCACCAAATTTTGAGCTACGCATGTATATACACCTGCATGCGCTGATGACACTACCTGTATTTCAAGTGTTCCCTCTTCTTGTACTTTGTAGCCACCCCAGTCTGCAGACACTGTAAGCCTTTCCCCAGAGGGTGTGACCCAGTATATTTGTGGTTCTGGTTCAGCAAGGGCTCGGCAATGTAATGTGATGCTCTGACCACTAGATGCACGTACGCGTGGGGAAAAACTTGGTACAGGAATTAGGGGCAGACAATGGTCACTCATCTCACGAAAAGGGACTAATCGTAATTGTGTGCGCCTTAACTCTGGGGGTTCAGCACATAATGTTGATTGAGGCTCCATAAAACGAACATGGGGTGCTGTTGCATTCACCCAACGAATAACGCAATCACATCTCAGTGGATTGCCATGCATAGCAATCTCCTGCAAGTTTGGTAATGATTCAACAGTCTCTCTGTGCAAAGAACTCAGAGCATTATTATTAAGCATTAATGTTTCCATGCGGGGAAGTTTCTGGAAGGCTCGAGGATGAATAAAAGACAGTTTAGGATTGTTGGTGACTTCCAGTTTGGTCAGTTCTGGCAGATTTACTAGAGCCATTTCATCAATAGATACTAATTCTTCCATGCTGTTTAAACCCAGTTCTTTTAGCTGAGCCATATTTTCAAAATCTTTTTGTTTAATTCTGCTCAATGGGTTCTTATTGAGATCCAGAAACTTCAAATTGGGCACCCTTTGCAGGGCTTCCTTGGGCACACCTATAAGTTTGTTGTCATAGAAAGAGAGACTTTCTAACTTTTGCAAACCTTCTAGGGCAAAGTCAGATATGTCCTTAAGACCCATGCCTGCCAAAACAAGGCTTCTTAAGTTGGACAGTGGCTTAAAATTCATATCCAGAATAGAGCTCACCATATTGCCACCAACCATCAATACCTCTAGAGCTGGCAATTCTTTAAACCACTGACTGTCTAAACTTGTCAATAAATTGGAGTTTAAATGCAGGCGCAATAGACGTCGCAGTCCTAAAAAAGCTTGAGGATGTATCACAGACAACTGGTTATGGTTCAGGTACAATTCTTCCAGACTCTCAAGTCCAAAAAAACTATTGTCAGGTAGACTTTCCAGCTGATTTTCTTCGAGGTGAAGGCTTACAAGATTTGGTAGGTCTCTGGCTTTAAAGTCTCTGATGTGGGAGAAGCTGTTTTGAGACAAGTCTAGCTCCGTCAGGTTTTCCAGATAACCCAACTCTTGCAGCTCCAAGTGTGCAATATTGTTGCTCTGCAGAAGAAGTGTATGTGTTCCAGCTGGCAGGGAACTTGGAACAGATGAAACAAAAAGATCATTACAGTCTACAGTATTGGCCTCCCTGTAGGCTGATCTTGGAGTGTACCAAGGACGTATCTGGCACACACACTGTGACGGACACTGCACCTTCCATGGCACAGCTGGTATTCCTCCTTGAGCTGAATATGCCCAAATTAAGATTAATTCCACCACGAGAAGTCTCATTCTGCAGCCAAAAGGATTGTTAAAAATAATCTTCCACATAAATCAAGTGAACAGAGACCTAGATTACTTAAAATGGAGCAATGGGCAAATCCAGAACAGCTGATCAGCAGTGCTCTTTGTCAGCAAATGCCTTCTTACAGTCCAATGGTCTCTTTCTTTCTGTATCTTGAAAAGCATCATTAGTTCCTCCAGCTGTTGAAGTAATCTGTCGAGACAAAGCATTATTGTTAATATAATGTTCTCAGAATTCAAATTTATCTTTATATACCCAAATTTCATTGAGTTTATTTCTTTCCTTGTTTTCTGGTTTTAGCAATTCAATTTTTTGATGATAGGATACATTTATTTCAACAACAATCTTTTCATAAGATTATGGCCTCATGCACATGTGGCTGCATAATGTAAATCTCTGGAGTATTTCCGCGCCGAGGATACATAGCTGCTGTATAATGCTGATCACAGTGATGAATGGCTGTATGTGGCAGTACACTGGGTTGTACCACTATTTGTGTGAACCCAGCCATTCACAAACCCATCTGTCCAGGGTTGTACGGCTGTATGCATGTGCAGATTTATGCAAGTAGTGGTGTAGACCAATGTAGAGCCAAATACAGCTATTCATTACTACAGTATAGTCAGCTGTATGAGGCAGTTGTGTATTTTTGGCATGGAAATATGCCCAAAATGTACTTTATATGGCCTCAGACATGCCTATGCTGAGGTCTATAAGTGAACCTAATGTATTTTATGTGTGTTATTTACCTGTAAAAGCCTCCATTGTGTAGACTTCCAAAAGCCCTGAGACTGCTGCTGGTCGCTGCCATCTTGGATGTAATGTCAGAAGCCCTAGCAGACTCACATTCTAAAGTATTGTCCATCATTCCTTTTCCCCACAGCAATATAAAAGTTTACAACAAAGAAATAAAATGTGGTCAGGTGCATCCAGTGATGCGCCTCTATCTCTGCAAACGCATATCCATAAAGACTTTGGTCGGTCCTTTTTGGGACTTTAGGAGCAACGCTACTACATACATAGTACACATAGATATTTATTTGTAAATAAATACAGATCTCATTACATAAAGGAAAAATATTGAATATTAAAATAGTATAATATAATATGAAGCCGATGCGTAATAATTACGATAATATATTTCATACAGTAATATTACAAATACCAATACATGATTAGTTTAAACAAGTCCCAAAAAGTACTGACCAATGTTTTACAGATACACGTAAAAGTTTATATAAGGAGGTGAGGGGGCAGAGCCAGGGAAAGGAGAGGACTTGGAGCATAGAATGAAGGGGCTTTGTTAGGGAACTGACCCCACCTGGAGTACTTAAATTTTCAAGTTCAAAAGCACATTGCAAGTGAATAGAAATGTTTATGGAAAATAAAAATACGGCAACTAAGCGGTTAAAATACTTTTTTTCTGTACTTATACCCACAAATTGTTAAGTTGGTAATGAGGACTCTTTAAAATCCTTTCTTTTGCTACCTGCACTTTTGCTGTTTAATTATTGCCCTACTTCACTCTCATACCTCTTTCTTTCTATTCTTTTTCCATATTCAGTTTCCCCCTGTTCCAAGTATGTGTGTGTGTGCTTGAATTCTTCTTCATTTGAACTCTCTGCATCGCCCCCACAGGCTAATCCTTTTCTTCTCTGGCCCATTTTTTCCAGAGAGCCTCGCATTTGTCGTCATGGAGATGGACCAGCAAGCAACAGACATGTTCAGCTTGGCCAGAGATGCCGTTCCAATCTCAAAAGGATAGTGCTGAGAGGAAAAAGAGTTTCTGAGATTCTGTAAATGCCTAGCTTAGACATTTTGTATTTGATTGTTTTTTATTTATTTTTTTAATATTCTATTTTGAGTATAGTGAATTCATAGTTTCTAAAGTATAGTATTTATGTGCATCATTTGAATATTAAAGCATATGTAAATGTTAAATGGTTTCATCTGTAATTCATCATGTGTTTGGTTCCAGAAAGTAGGGAAACTCATGGGACTCAATTATTTTAAAGCAGAGTTTCTCAGTATTGCACAGTTAACCCTATTAGGTAATTATTTAATAGTTTATGGATCTATTGACATACTTTTGCACAAACATATGTTTAATTTGAAAGCATTAACAGATACGTTTAATTTGTCAAGGTTCAGTATATGGACAATTAAGGAAAGATAAACATACCCATATGATTGGTACTTGGTAAACTTTGTCTTTAAGACTACAAAAAATATTCACACTGCAATCCCACTACATGTATGTATATACAGTTGTGTTGAAAAGTTTCTATACCATGGCAGAAATCATGAAATTTTGGCATTGATATTGAAAATGTGATTAATCATACCATAAAACTGTCTTTTATTTAAGGATAGAGATCATATGAAGTAATTTATTATCACATAGTTGTTCGCCTCCTTTTTAAATCATAATGATAAAAGAAATCACTCAAATGGCCATGATCAAAAGTTTACATACCCTGGAATGTTTGGCCTTGGTACAGACACACAAAGTGAGACACACGGGTTAAAATGGTGATTGAAGGTTAATTTCCCACATGTGTGGCTTTTTAAATTGCAATTTGTGTCTCTGTATAAATAGTGTGTTAGCTCTCACATGGATACACTGAGCAGGCTTGATACTATGTCATGGGTAGCAGAAAGGAACAGTCAAAATACCCGCATAAGAAGGTAATGGAACATTATAAAGATGGAAAAGGATATAAAAAGATATCCAGAGCCTTGAATATGCCAGAAAGTACTGCTAAATCACTTATTAAGAAGTGCAAATTTCTGGGATCTCTTGATGCCAAGCCAAGGTCAGGTGGACCAAGAAAGACTGCAGCCATAACTGTCTGAAAAATTGTTTGGGATACAAAGAAAAACACACTGGTAACCTCAGGAGAAATACAGGCTGCTCTGGAAAAAAAGATGATGTGGTTGTCTCAAGAAACACAATACGACGATAGCTGCATGATCGAGTTTCCAGAAAAAAAGCCTTTACTGTGTCAATGCCACAAAAAAGCCTGGTTACAATATGTCTGACAACACCTTGAGACTCCTCACAGCACACTCTAATCTGGAGTGACAAGACCAAAATAGAGCTTTATGGTCACAATCATAAGAACTATTTTTGGAGAGGGGTCAACAAGTCCTATAGCAACATGAATACCATCCCCACTGTGAAGCATGGTGAAGGCTCACGGATGTTTTAGGGGTGTGTAAATTCTAAAGGTAATCTTGTGAAAATAGCAAGATGAATGCAGCATATTATCAGAAAATACTGGCAGACAATCTGCATTCTTCTGCAAGAAAGCTGAGCATGGGACACTCTTGGACTTTCCAGCAGGACAATGACCCTAAGCACGAGGCCAAGTTAACCCTCCAGTGGTTATAAAGAAAGCGGTGAAAGTTTTGGAGTAGCTATCACAGTCTTCTGACCTTAATACCATTGAGCCACTCTCAATGGTCATCTTGCATAAACATGTGGTTTATGCAAGATGACCAAAGATTTTGCCTGGAGGCATTTTGCCAAGATGAACGGGCAGTTATACCACCTGCAAGAATTCGGGGCCTCATAGACAACTATTGCAAAAGACTGCACGCTGTCATTGATGCTAAAGGGGGCAATACACAAATTTGTGCAGGGTCATATTCATGTATATGTTATAGACATGTACATGAATCTGAGGCATGCACTGAGGGTGGAGGTGCATTGAGGCCGGAGTGTCTATACAGACACTCCACCCTCAATGCAACTGCACTTTCGCCGCATCACCACACCTGTCATACAGCGCAGCAACTGGAAGTTTTGTACCCGGGTGGACAGAGCCTGATGGGATTTTACATACACTGGTTCTCCATCAGGCCCACTCCCACTGTGATTGGGAGCAGGCAGTGGGTGGATCCTTAGCCAACAGACAGCCTGCTATTGGCTATAGAATCTGCCCACTGCCTGTTGTCAGTTACAAGATGAGAGCAAACCTGATGGGGACCAGCTACCCACTAGGATCTGGCCACTGCAGTGTTATTGGTTGCTAGGAAGCTGTCAGCTGTGAAGCGTCAGCATCTTTAACAACCAGTAACAGGATAGCAGTAGCAAATGTGCTTCTTTGGTACACTGCATACAGGGACAGGCACTCTGCCTTTCTCTGTACACCACGTTAGAGTATGTCTTAATTACCTCCAGTTTAGTCATCTATGAACTGGAGATAGTTATTTTTGAATTTGGTGCATTAAAAACTACCTGAATCTACTGCACGTGTCAGTAAAGTTAGGTAGGTGTTTTTGAAGCGGGCACAGGCCATTTTAAAAGGCCATAGCACCAGAAAACTGGTGATAGTGCTTTATTTAATTCCCCAGCTTGTGTGTCTGTTTTATTGGTGGGGCACAGTCTATCTTTAGGACACACAATAATTTATATTGCTTGCTACATGTGCCTTGATCAATATTCTACTGTCAACATTTTTCAACTGTAAGGCTCCCAAGCTTTTTTTCTGGTAAAGTATATGGCCCTTACCAGCACCCACCCCACTATTTCCAGTAGCAACCTTCATCCATTATTATTATACAGGATTTATATAGCGCCAACAGTTTGCTCAGCGCTTTACAATATAACGGGAGAAAATACAGCAACAATACAGTTCAATACAAGAGGAATAGGAGCCATCAGGCTTCTCTTCCCCAGTGACTAGAATTCTCTTTTCTAGCCACTCCTATGCCCAGTGTCTGAACACAAGTTTAACTAGGCTACTGGAGATGCAACTCCCCAATACCACCTAGTGGAAAGAGACCTTATATTCTATCTCCTTGGAGCTTGCTTATAGACAGGGCATAGGAGGCTGAGAAGCAGGTGGGATTTCAGGAACAAGGGGACTTGATGCTGTTCTCTCATGGCCACCAGCTGCTGACCAATGGACAACATGGGGGTTGGGGTGGGTAGGGTGGGAGGGAGAAGTACAGCCAAAGCTCTTTTGGATGTACTTCTGTGGATCACAGGAGTGCAGTTCGTTCTGCACTCCTGTGACCC